GCGGCCCGGGCCAGGCTTCCCCCCCCCCTCGCCGTCCCCCGGGCCCTTTTGTTTTCCATGGCACCGACCCACGGCAGCTCACGCCTTCCCAGGCTCTGCAAAAAAAATCGCCAGGAAAAATAACTGCGGGCCTTTTCTCCTCCCAGTTTGAGCTGCTGCTGGAGCCGAGCGGCTGCTGGCCCCATTCTGCATCCTGCATGTTTTGCTGCTCCTGCTCGGACATGCAGGAGCGCAGAGCCCCAGTGCTCTGTGTCCCAGCAGCCAAACCAAGCCTGAGTGCCAAGGGGACCTTGCCCATCCTGCCCCCTCCTCGCCAGGGACATCTCAGGAATGTAGGGACCAAGGATGGGCAGATTGTGATGGGAGAGGATGAGGTGGGTCTCTGGTGAGTTGCCTCTCAAGGACTTTGTGTCTCAGGGAGCATCACTGCAGGGAGGCCAGGGCAGAGTGGGAAGGGGGGGACGTGGTAGCTTCCCATCTGGATATTCTGTGGAGGAGGGCGATCACTAAACTGGATCATGAAGACCCAGCTATTAGTGGAGGTGCCAATAAGCTCAGTGGCAATTCATCTCTGCCCTTTTCCAAGCTGAAAGATGCCAGGAAAGCCAATGGAGATGGCCTGAAGTGGTGGGGGGAACGATGGCCCACGTGAGCACCCGGCAGGACCAGGGCTCCCAGGCCTCCCCTGGAAAGTGGCCATGTCAGTCACGTTGGCTCTGCAAGGTGGGAAAGCTCAGCTAGGGCAAAGCACCGTTTGGGGAGAGCCAGCGCCGCTCACCGTGTTCACACGGCTGCTGACGCAACTGTCACCAAGGCCAGGCTGCGAACAGGCTTGGAGTTAAAAATAGTTGCTGTGGGAAGGAGAAGGGGATTATTCTGAATTGAGATCTGTCCATCGACCATGCTTGCAGCACGGCTTCGCCATGGGGCTGGTGGAAGACAAGCAGCCAGGAGCAGGAATTTTCTGATCCACCCTTGAGATGATGCTACAGCAGCATAAACTCATGGAGCTGGGATCAATACCAGTGCCGCAAGATCCGGAGGGGGCTGAGGCTTTGACAGAGCCAGCAGGGGGTTGCTCCCTATCCCCCCTTTTCCTTCTGCCCTGTGTCATGGGTCTAATTTGCAGCAATCCTGCTAGTCACTTCACAGGCATTGGCCACGGAGCTGAGGGCAGGGAGGATTGCGGAGGATGCCCGGCACACAGCTCAGATCCAGGCCACCCTAGCGGGCAAATCCAAGCCATACCGAAGTGTTAATGCCTTAGGAAGGGGCCGTGGCCACGTGTTAACCCTTTCCAAGCAGTGCAGGCAGCTGGAGGCGTGTGGGGGGATATGGAGCAGCATCCCCATCCCCTTCCCCTGCCCTGGGCTGTGCGAGTGCTAATTAGGGCCCTCCTGAAGAGGAGCAAATCTCTGAGTAATCCAGCATGGGTAGGCATCTCATCAGAACGAGATTCCCCATAGATACATTAGGCAAGCAAATCTATTACTCCCTAATTAAATGGAGGCGGAAAAAACATCATTGTTCTTTTTCTATTCCTTGCATATTTCAAAGCACAAAACTCAATTAAAGTGTATGTGCAGGAGGGGATTTGACTGCAGCAGGGCCCTCCATTCGGCTCAGGCTTTTAACGGACGGGCAAACACCTGGGCTGCAGCGGCAGCGCCGGGGCTCACAGCAGGTCTCGGCAGGCGCCCCCCCCCCGCCGCCTCCCTGCTCCCGACCTCCTTTGTCTGTCTTTCCTTCCACAGGAGGAAGATGCGGAGGCAGCAGAGTCTGCACCTCCCATGGAAAAGCCGCCCTTGGGTGCGTGTATCTGAGGTGGGCAGGTCTGTGATTCGCTCCGCATGGGACATCTCCATGGTCCCCCCTTAAACGGGGGTAGATGGAGTCTGCAAACCTGGTTTCCTGATTGGGCAACCCGAGCTGGGACTCCGTGTGACAGTCCCTGCAGTGGGCTGGCCTCGTTTGCTCAGCAGGACATTGCCCCTCGGCTAGGGACAGCTCCAGAAAATTACATTAAAGACAACCCTCATCCTCGCGGTGTCACTGCAGGTTCGGTCACCAGCGGGGCAAGAGGAGAGAGCTGGCAGTGGACGGGTGTGAGGTGGGGACCCTGTGGGCACAGGGTGACACTACCCTGCCCGGGTAACTCTGCAGAGCAGGGCAGTACCAGGAATGCATCCGTATCCGTCCGTGCATACGGGCAACAGGCATTTGTGCATGGGCAGGAGCATTTGTGCACAGGTGGCGTAGGCGCCTATGGCGTGTCTGTGCACATATAGCGAGCCTCCTTATGCTGTGCATGTAGACACAGAGCACTTACGTGAAGAGCATGTACGTATTGCGTGCGTCCATGTATACTACGAACATATTTACAAAATTACGTGTGTGCTTATGCAGTGTGTAAATATGGTACATGCGTTTTAGTGTAAAAAGTGTGCACAGAGTGTGTGTGTACGTATGTGAAATATATATTTGACTTTTTACATTTTCCTGCATATTCTGTGCTTAAATATAATGTGTGCACAGTGTAAGTGTATATATAAAATATGTGCTCATTTGTTTTTATAACATTTCTTTGTGTGTATGCACAGTGTGTATATATGAGTGCATACCTTGTATGTATATATATACACACACATATACAGTGTCTGTGCATATAAATAGACTGTATATATATGTTTGTAAATGTCTACAGGGGGTGTGAGTGTATATATGCTTGCACACAAATGCATAAATACACTGTGTGTGTGCCTGAGGTATGCACAGATGTATATGTATATATGTATTTATATGTGCCTCTCTTGCATATGCAACCCTCCCTTGCTAGCGGCCGTGGTGCTTGTCCCCTCTGTCACCTCCTGGCTCCATGGGGACCCCCACCGAGCCCCCCCACAACCACTCCCCACCGGACAAGCAAAGATCCAGCTCCACTTTCAATCCCTTTTATTGACTCTTTCACAGACAGAAGCGCGTAGAAAAAAAAAAGGAAAGAAAAAAAGAAAAAAAAAAAGGGTCGAGGTTTTCTCGCTGGCTCCGGGGTTCCTCCGGAGCAGGGGGCGCGGGGGCGGGGGGG